ATATACGTTGACAGAACAACTGATGTTCTTAAACCCTGCTGACTGCCATTGGTGATTGCCAAATAAACGGATATGAATCACACCCTTCAGGCTAAGACGAGAACGTGGACCTCCGAGAAAGCACCCATATATGAAATGTTGAGAACGCGGACCTCCAAGTAAACACCCTATATGAAAATTTGAACTTTTTTGTTGAGAACGCGGACCTCCGAGAAAACACCCTATACGAATTTGAACGCAGACGTCAAAGAAAGCACCTCTATCCGGAATTCTAAAATTATCAGAACAATATGAACGGTTCAAGCTGGCAGTAACATGGAAAAAGCACGATAAAAACCTTCCAGAATGAATCCAGTTTTTACAAGACAGTAATATCATACACAATATATTTTGAATTATTATATTATATTTTGGTTCATTTTGAACACGATAGAGACTTCGTTTGGTTTGATCTATAGACTATGTTATCGTCCAGGATATAAGTGTAGTCACAGGAATCGGAAATTCTATCAATAAAATTCTGTAAATAATAAAGTCGACTATCAATAGAGCTTCTCGTAGAGAATTTCCGATTCCTGTGGTGTGGTATTTGTTGTTGGACCTCAATCCACCATCAAACGACAAATAGGAAAATACATGGTATTTTTCTATCTAGTAAGTATTAGATTATTTCGAATTAACTACCTTCCTATCCCAAAAAAGACTTGGTCTAATTTGTCGAAACAGTATCCGTAATCATGAGAAATTAAAGACGTACTAGACTGTAATGTCGATTTCTAAATTCGGAAGTCCTAATCATTCACAAAAACAGGAAAACACTTATACATGTATTAACAATTGAACGATGGTATGGCCAATGCATGTTCATAAAGATAAACATTCGTGTGGTGAAAACAGGAAAATAAATTAAAAGGAAAGTTAAAATGTAATCCATGTTTGCTCAATGAATGTGAAGAAATTTCTAAGTGACAATCAGATAAATGTATTTTTTAGATAGATGTTAATCTTGCATCTTGCAACTCTGTCCTGTCGTAAAGTTGATAATGAATACATGATAATTTGGCCGTAAGTGAGCAAGTCAATTTCCCACAACTTCACGAATGCATATTGTTATAAAAATAGAATAATAAATCGGTATATTAAGTTCGTTTGTTTATTTGTTTGTTTTTTATTTGTACTCCTGAAGCTTTCGATGCTTTCCAACTTTCATTTTATTTCTTAAACAATATCCAAGGGGGTGAATTGGTATTTTCAAATTTATTTTCAAGCAGCGTGTTTGCTCGAACTGTTCAATCGATTTACATTCAACCGATCCGCGATTATCTATTATTTGTATAGCAGACCACCCATTTTATTTGTCAAGAGGCAACTGTTTAATTTTAAAGTGGTCCTTTGAAAAATCTGAATCCAAATATGTTTGCTGCAACTCATATAAAGCTTTCTTCTGTATTGAGAAACGTAAAAATGGTAGATATATTTACTGGAAGTGTGATGAGATGATTAAAGCTGTACATTTTCTCCTAGATAAAGATATTTCAGTTTCATACTGGAAAATATATATACACGTACTAAAATTTACGACAAAAGGGACGATTTTTCGTGTCCTATTATTACTTTTCCTTTTTTATGGTGATGTTCCTTTAGCTCCATAAATAGTTTGGTTGTACCTGTAGAAAACTTACCACATCATTTTTTTTACGATGATGTTGTTAATTTAGATACGATCCATGTAAGCTTATCGATCCTTTCCATTTATTCTCAATGGTTATCAATTTAACATTGTAATAGGATCTTTGAATATTGTGTTCATTGGTACTAACTTTGATTTTTCGTTGTAGTGTTACATGTTCGGATCTGGAAATAGTTTTGGCCAATGTTCTAGAGATGATATGCGGAGGTATAAGTTTATTTATGACTCGCTGTGAGTTTTATTACCTAGTCAACGTTGCTGATCTTATATACGAGTAACATGGTTAGACGTGCATTTTATTCTTTCCTCTATAACGAGATCCAATTTAGCAGTTCTAACATGTTGCTTACATACGATCTACTTTTGTACCAGTTTGTTACATATCTAGCTGATCTTCTCTGTACCACATCTAATTTGTGTTTACTTTTTTGGAGATGCAGATCCCATAAAGCGCTGGCATACTCAACTGTGCTGGGCTTACAAGGGAGATGTAAGCTTTTTCTTTGATTATTGTCGCTGTTATAGAAGTTGAAATTTCTTTTGAGGAATCAAATTGCTTTATTTGCTTTAAGGCAGATTTTTTTGATGTGATTTCCCAACTTTAAGTCTGATGGTATTGCGTATATGTTTTTTAACTCTGGCACCAATTATCGGTTATAATATAGAGATTGATTGGTGTTTAACGTCACTTTCAACACTATTGTGCTATTTCGTGGCGGTCAGGTTTTATTGGTGGGGAAAGTCGCAGTGCCCAGAGAGAACTACCAACCTTCGGTAGGAAAACTAACAATCCTAATCAATTAAGATTGGAGTCGACCACACTTGCCACGTGTGGGATTCGAACTCACAACCTCAGTGTTGACTGGCTAGTGATACATTAGATCGATTATTTTTTTTCTCTTGATGAGTAAGTTCGTGTTCAGTGCAGATAGGAAATGAACAAACTCGAGATCCTTTCATCGTCATTCGGTTTACTTATATATTTTGACATTGCACAAGGTCATGCGTTTCTCATACTGTTCACGAAGTCTTTACACTAAATCCGTTGGATGTGTACTGATTGCTACTTTAGTCTGGGAAAACATGATTTATTTATTAATTGTAATTTGCTTTGAACTATCTTTCAGTTACAGCGAATATTTTATATCGGTACTGTGTCTATTGTTTTTATATTAGATGTTTTTATGCGTTGTACCGATCTTTTATTGAGTCAAGCCAATCGCAACTGATTTTTACAGTTTGCTCTTATGTTGTGCTGTTAATCACTGTCTTAGGTTAGGGGAGGGTTTAGCGCTCATAAAGATGTGTTAACCCCGCCACATTCTTTATGTGTCTGTCCCAAGTCAGGAGCCTGTAGTTCAGTGGTTGTCGTTGGTTCATGTCTGTCAAAATTGTTTTTGTAAATTGTTTTGTTATAAAGTAGGCCGTTAGTTTTCTCGTTTGAATTGTTTCACATTTTGTTCATTTCAGCACCCTTCATAGCCGACTATACGGTATGAAGGCCGTATGTTGACCTATAATTGCCTATATATAGATATAAGAAGATGTGGTATGAGTGCCAATGAGACAACTCTCCATCCAAGTCACAATTTGTAAAAGTAAACCATTATAGGTCAAAGTACGGCCTTCAACACTTATTTGAACTCGGGTGGATGGTTGTCTAGTTGGCAATAATACCACATCTCCCTATTTTATATGATATGCACGGATATAACTATTTCCTTTTCATGTTAAAATATACTTTTTCAGTTTGTTTCATAAATGTGAAAAAATGCTGTTAAAATTAAATTATATTTTAAAAACCTTAATACAATAACGTGAATACATTGTAATATGTTAGATGAAATTAAGATACTCTTGGGGGGGGGGGGGGGGGGGAGGGGGGTACAATGATATTCAGTTACATTGTTTTTGTAAATTGTTTTGTTATAACTTACATCAATTTATGTATACAAATAGTAGAGTACAAAGAATACACTGATATAATGCAGTATACATGTAGATAACTTTAAAAGGATATATTTTGATTTGACAAGACTCACGTACTGTAGCACAATTAGAACAAAATATAACAAACAGTAATTTCTAGTGTCAACAGCTACGGTGAGGTTTTAGCATCTTATTAAAATACAGATCTCTGATTTCGCTATCCTCATATGAGCTTATATCATGTATATACGAACACACGAGTTGTGATAGATCTGAATTGTAATCAGATTGAGGTTTTAGTTAAACAAAAGTTAGTAAATGGTAAATTAACTGTATCTTTTTCCGGCTACACATTTATAAAATGTTGGCATCACTAGTGAATTTTAAATTGAATATATACAGATGTATCAAGTTAAAAAGTAGAATAATTTTAAATATATGCATTAATTGGCATCCTCTTTGTCGGCTTAATTATTTTTCTTTTTCACCTTTTTTATACAATGTTATATTGAGGCAGAATTTCAAGTAATGTACTTCCTTATCTTTCATTTAACTTTCAGTATGATAAATGTAGCTGATTGTATATATATGTGAAAATATTTCGTTCCACGATGAATTCAAGTTTTTGGTCTTAAATACAAAGCATGAAAATATATTAAGAACTTAACATTCAATTTAATTGAAAACTCACAATCAGAATTTTGTTTTTCTTATCCGTGATTAAAAGATCAAAGTATTTTTTTTAACAAAGTTTGGAATCAGAATATTGCTTAAGTAACCGTACCCCCCCCCCCTTTTCAAAGTGAAATGGTCGTACCTTAGTAGAAAAGCCCGAGAATATTCGATGGAAAATGACTGGTTCTTTGTAAACCGATTAAAATGAAACCAGTTGTTTTCCTGTTCGGAAATGTGGGTTGAGGACTGATATTTTTTAGTGCCTGCAAGAATTCGAGAGTTTTGCATCTATAAAACAAAAAGGTAAGACAAAAGTAGCTGCATTTTAGTATGACACAGGTTTACCTCGCTGCGGTAAAATGGTTTACATCGCATGACACAAATTATAAGATGAAACAACTGGCAAATGTAAGCCGGCCGGCTTGGCATACGTTGGCATACTTTCATTTTCAATTTCGCCGGGATTAAATAAAGTAACGTTGTCATTGCAAATTCACAGTGTTAATCATTTTATTTCACTTTTATTTTAGTTGTTTTTATTCTGATTTTTTTGCATTTTATTTTAATTTCTTGTAATGCATTGTTTTACGTGATAATGAGATGCGCATAAAATATCCTCAATAACATTGAAGGTTCAAGGCCAGGTTGTTTATCGTTTGTGCGTCTTGTTATTGCTGATACAGGTGTTTCGAAATAATTAAATGACGTATATATATCTTATATTCTTTTACTTATCTGTCTGCTATCGTGTAGTAATTGCACAAACATTGCAAACAATGAAAATTACGTGCAATTGTTATTGTATTTTGTTAAACAGCTATTGATATTTTTAAAAAGTTGTAATTTTGTGAAGATCTGGAACTAATCTACTATCAGTTAAAGGTAAAACCTGTATAATGTGATAAATTAGTCATTATAGAGGTAGGATATAATTATCAGGTGAAAACAAGTGTGAGACAAGTTTTTTTTATAGATGTATATATGCTCAAACATTTAATTGTTGCGGTGTCTTTTAAAAGTATATATATATGCATTTATTTTAAAAAATCTTGTGTTGCACCAGAGCTTTATAGCTCGTGGTTCTATTTTTTCTTTTATCTTTTTTTAGGGAAATGTCAAGTTACTTTTCTGGAAATTTTCCAGTATATATAATACAAAAACATAATTATATTTAGGACCCCATATTTTTTTTTTTGATAAGTATGTATTGCCTCTTAATGTCTTTTTTTTTTAGTGTTGTAAGATTGCTGTCTGATTCATTAGTTTATATCTCACATTTCTTTTAATTGTATTCAACCTTTTTTTTTTAGAATGATGAATTTTAAAAATCTTAAGAAATTCAAGAGAAATTGGTCATTTGTAAAAAGTTGTGACTTCCAGATACAATCATATTGAGAAAAGTTGTGACTTTCGGGAAGGATTAATTGAAAAAGTTGGCCTCCAGGTAGAATCATTGAAAAAAGTTTTGTGACTTTCTGGTAGAGTCTTCTTGAAAAAAGTTGTGACTTTCAGATACAATCATATTGAAAAATTTTGCGACTTGCAGGTAGAATCATATTGAAAAAAGTTGTGACATTCAGGAAGAATCATATTGAAAAATGTTGTGACTTTCAGATAAAATCATATTGAAAAAAGTTGTGACTTTCAGGTAGGATCATATTGAAAAAAGTTGACACTTTCAGATAAAATCATATTGAAAATGTTATGACTTTCAGGTAGGATCATATTGAAAAAAGTTTTGTGATTTTCGGATAGAATCATAGTGAAAAATGTTGTGACTTTTAGGTAGAACCATATTGAAAATTGTTGTGACTTTTAGGTAGAATCATATTGAAAAATGTTGTGACTTTAAGGTAGAATCATATTGAAAAATGTAGTGACTTTTTAGGTAGAATCATATTGAAAAATGTTGTGACTTTCAGATACAATCATATTGAAAAATTTTGCGACTTGCAGGTAGAATCATATTGAAAAAAGTTGTGACTCTCAGGTAGAATCATATTGAAAAATGTTGTGACTTTCAGATAAAATCATATTGAAAAAAGTTGTGACTTTCAGGTAGGATCATATTGAAAAAAGTTGTGACTTTCAGATAAAATCATATTGAAAATGTTATGACTTTCAGGTAGGATCATATTGAAAAAAGTTTTGTGATTTTCGGATAGAATCATATTGAAAAATGTTGTGACTTTTAGGTAGGATCATATTGAAAATTGTGACTTTTAGGTAGAATCATATTGAAAAATGTTGTGACTTTCAGGTAGAATCATATTGAAAATTGTTGTGACTTTTAGATAGAATCATATTGAAAAATGTTGTGACTTTTAGGTAGAATCATATTGAAAATTGTTGTGACGTTAAGGTAGAATCATATTGAAAATTGTTGTGACTTTTAGGTAGAATCATATTGAAAAATGTTGTGACTTTCAGATACATCATATTGAAAAAATGTTGTGGCTTTCAGGTAGAATCATTTGAAAAAGTAACTTTCAGGTAGAATCTTATTGAAAAATGTTGTGACTTTCAGGTAGAATCATATTGAAAAATGAGTGATAATAAAGCTGCGGAGAACACTAGTGTGTTTAGCCCAGAGAAAACTCAGTATTATGAGGTCCACAATATAGTGGTTCCACATATTGGACCAGTTCCTATTGCTAAGGGAGACTTTCACAAACTTCCTCAAAAAGTACAGAAATTCATTGCAAAATGGGTGAGTACATGTATCTAAGACATATGAAATTTTATGAACAAAAGGTGAAAGTCTTTGAGATTCCATTTGATAATTATAGTATTCATTGATGAGCATGCAGAGTATCATGCATACAATATATGCCAATGTTAACCCATATTTTTGATATAAAAAACATATCTGTCGGATGGGTGTATCTACAACTGTATTTTTGTGGAAAAAAATTGCACACCTTATTGTTACTGGCTTGACCACTTTATTTATACATACTCCAGACCTCTTCTCTTCCTTACCCAATATAGTGCAGTAAGGTGAAAATTCTTTAGATTCTATCCATGCCTATGTCCAGCAATTTATTTCAATAATTTATTTCAATAATATATACTTGGATATTCAAGGTACAAAGTGATGTGTATGTGGATAACCATTCTTGACCAAGAAGACTATTTTATTAGAAATTACATAAGTTGCAGAAATTGTGCATGGCATATGAATCTTTCTGTTCTTCCTATAACTATGGCATAGAAACATACATTACATTCAAAACATTGCCTAAATTTGTTTTGTTGCTTAATACAATGCATTGCACAATGCAAAATGAAAGTTGTTTAAGCAATCTCTCAGTGCTCAAGTGCTTTGATTTATAAATGATATCTTTTTGACATTTTTTTTAAGCAATATTTGCTGTCTTGATCTATAGAATCTATTTTTTTAAAAAGGTTGACATTTGTGCACCAAGAGCTTTGTACATCTGTGATGGTTCTAAAGCAGAGTCTGATGAGATCATACACAAATTGGTAGAAAGAGGTGTTCTAACAGAACTTAAAAAATATGAAAACTGGTAAGTTTATTATCCTTCAATTTTAGACTTCCCTTTCCAAGGTATCAACTTAATATTCTTGTGCAATGTTAGGGACGACATCAAAGATCGATGTCGGATAAAAAACTTAATCAAATAGTTTGCGGGTGGGGGGTAAAAATCGCTGCAAGTTTTGTTATCCGACATCGATTTTTGGATTGAAAAATATGGACTCGTTTGGCTCGAACATATGTTTGGACTTTTAAACCAAATGATTGCCATCAAATCGTACCGGAAAGCAAATTTTTGGCTGAAAGTATTTGGGCGAAATTAATCATAGTATCTTATGTCGTTCAAACGCTTTATCGATCGTGAATTTTGAATGATACGAAACCATATACAGATCAACACAGACTGTTTTGGTCCACACTGCATGGTGGCATTCTAAAACAATAAAAAAAATTTTGAATTGTGTTAATTATTTTATTATTAAAATGAAAACTGAAATATAAATTCAAATAAAAAGTTGAAAGTTATATAGAATTTTTTGAGACAGCGGTCAACAGACATTGAATAGAAATTACATAGATCATATCACATTCACTACATTCATTTGGGATCATTGTGCATTTCCCTCTCTCCACAGTTGGCACAAATGCACTGCCCTGTCATCATCATACATTTCAATGGACCACTACCTAGTTTAAAGCTATATATTTTATATGAAACAATGAACTGTTTTATATTCATTCGAGAAAAGAAACAAAAACAATCAAAACCATAAACCCACTATCTATACATGCCAATAGTGGGCAGATGAAAAATGCAGAATCCACTCTGACTGTAGTGTTTATAAAGTTATAATTTAACAGAGCCTTTTTTTATGCATACTAAAAAAAAACATCACTTTTTTCCAATATTTTTTAAAAGTGATGTCCAAGTCAATATACAGAACAAACATACATTGTTGAGGAAAAACAGGACACATGATACAAAAATTATACTCTGAAAGCATATGCCCATATTGGTCAATCAATTTTTCCCAAATTAAGTTAAGATGGGGGGTGGGGGGTCAGTGAAAAAACTATGTGAATTAAGTTTTTCATCGTACATTGAACTTTTGATGTCGTCCCTTACTTGTAACACCATTTTTGTCGAGCCTGCGACTTTTGTCGCAGAAAGCTCGACATAGGGATAGTCATCCGACTACAGCGGCGGCGGCGTTAGCTAGCTTCTTAAAAGCTTTATATTTTAGAAGGTAGAAGATCTGGATGCTTCATACTATGTATATGGATGCCTCATGTTACGAAGTTTCAGTCAGTCACATGTCCAATGTCCTTGACCTCATTTTCATGGTTCAGTGACTACTTGAAAAAAGTTCAGATTTTTTGTAATGTTAAATTCTCTCTTATTATAAGTAATAGGATAACTATATTTGGTATGTGCGTATCTTGCATGGTTCTCGTGCCCGTCAGACAGTTTTCACTTGACCTCGACCTCATTTCATGGATCAGTGAACAAGGTTAAGTTTTGGTGGTCAAGTCCATATCTCAGATACTATAAGCAATAGGTCTAGTATATTCGGTGTATGGAAGGACTGTAAGGTGTACATGTCCAACTGGCAGGTGTCATCTGACCTTGACCTCATTTTCATGGTTCAGTGGTTATAGTTAAGTTTTTGTGTTTTGGTCTGTTTTTCTTATACTGTATGCAATAGGTCTACTATATTTGGTGTATGGAATGATTGTAAGGTGTATATGTCTAGCTGGCAGGTGTCATCTGGCCTTGACCGCATTTTCATGGTTCAGTGGTCAAAGTTAAGTTTTTGAGTTTTGGTCTTTTTTTCTAATACTATATGCAATAGTTCAACTATATTTGGTGTATGGAAATATTTTATGATCTATATGTCATTCACATAGGTTTTTATTTGACCTTGACCTCATTTTCAAGGTTCATTGCTCAGTGTTAAGTTTTTTGTGTTTTGGTCTGTTTTTCTTAAACTATAAGCAATAGGTCAACTATATTTGTTGTATGGAAGAATTGTTAGCTGTACATGCCTGCCTAGCATGGTTCATCTGACCTTGACCTCATTTTCATGGTTCATTGGTCAATGTTTAGTTTTCTTGATTAAGTCTGTATCTTAGAAACTATAAACAATAGGTCAACTATATTTAGTGTATTGAATGATTGTAAGGTGTACATGTATTTCTTGTTTGGTTTATTTGACCTTGACCTCATTTTCTTGGATCATGTTAAGTGTATGTGATAGTTGTAGTAAAGCTTTATATTTAGGACTATCAACATAATATCAATGATTAGTAAAGAAGGCGAGACATTTCAGCGTGTGCACTCTTGTTAATTAAATGAATCAGCCTTCAATTCCATGGTTGATATTCAGAGTCATTGGCAACGTTCAATTGCAGTTTTCCACATTTCTGAAGTATTCCAAATGTTTTATTTTTTAAAGATTTCAGTGTCATCAGATTAGGGATAACAGTTCCATATTTGTGGCGGCGGATGACATTTTAGCGAAAAAATCAGACGATTTAGCGCTAAAGTATAACCATTTTAGTGCTAGATTGTTAACACGTTTTAGCTAAAAGTGAAATTATCAATGCCCTTTTTAGTGACAGAAATTAATTCATAGTAAAAATATCAAGTCCATTGAAATATACCACTTAATGTGTAAAAAGTTAACTCAAATGTCCATTCCGTTCTAGCAAGGAATATATATCCCAGAAAATGTAATGTCTCTTGATATACCCCCTATACAATACTGTTCATAAATTTTTTTATAAGAACTGTTCCTTCTATTTATCTTGCCCAGATTGAGATGCAGATTTATCGATACTGCTTATTTTAAAATAAGTTGTTGTTTGTAATTTGACGATAATTAGTTTAAAATTAACCCCACATATTGTACTTTATTTGACGATAATTAATTTAAAAATAACCTCACATATTGTACTTTTATTTCCTGTTACATCATTTCTTTACATGTTTAACCAAATTGTAAATGCAAACAACTTTAACATTAATCAATCATGAATTACTGTTTTAGTATGGTGAGTATTATTCAACCAGGTAAGTTTTCTCTAAATTGGGCTATCAAAAAGACTGGTGAATGGATTAATCCAGCACTAAAATGGGTCTGTGCTAAAATGTTCCTTTGTAGTTTTAAATATTTCGCCAAAATGTCCTGAGCCCATTTGAGGGTCTGAATGGGGTTTACAGAATAGAGAACAATGGACAAAAAGTGCAGAATGAATGCAAAAAAAGTAAAGAATAGAGAAAAATGGGCAAAAAATATCAAGAATAGAGAAAAAATGACCAAAAAAATTAAAAGAATATAGAAATGAAGGACACTCCATCAAGGCCCTCATTTACAGTACTTTAAATACTTGTTAGAAAAGAAAAAAGAACCATCTACTCAGAAAATGTTTAAAAAGTTGCCGCTGTCCATTTTGGATTTGATGTCTGTAAATCTGCATTTACGATTGTCAAATACTCAACTGATAGTGGCTACTCTTCAAATACTGCACACTGATTGAATAATACAACAGTACAAACAATCAGAAGACCTCTAGAGGGCAGGCAACATATAGTCTTCAATAGTAGACCTCTAGAGGGCAGGCAACATATAGTCTTCAATAGTAGACCTCTAGAGGGCAGGCAACATATAGTCTTCTATAGTAGACCTCTAGAGGGCAGGCAACATATAGTCTTCAATAGTAGATCTCTAGAGGGCAGGTAGCATATAGTCTTCAATAGTAGACCTCTAGAGGGCAGGCAACATATAGTCTTCAATAGTAGACCTCTTGAGGGCAGGCAACATATAGTCTTTAATAGTAGACCTCTAGAGGGCAGGCAACATAGTCTTCAATAGTAGACCTCTAGAGGGCAGGCAACATATAGTCTTCAATAGTAGGCCTCTAGAGGGCAGGTAACATATAGTCTTCAATAGTAGACCTCTAGAGGGCAGGTAACATATAGTCTTCAATAGTAGACCTCTAGAGGGCAGGTAACATATAGTCTTCAATAATAGACCTCTAGAGGGCAGGTAACATATAGTCTTTAATAGTAGACCTCTAGAGGGCAGGTAACATATAGTCTTCAATTGTAGACCCCTAGAAGGCAGGTAACATATAGTCTTCAATAGTAGACTTCTAGAGGGCAGGCAACATATAGTCTTCAATAGTAGACCTCTAGAGGGCAGGTAACATATAGTCTTCAATAGTAGACCTCTAGAGGGCAGGTAACATATAGTCTTTAATAGTAGACTTCTAGAGGGCAGGTAACATATAGTCTTCAATTGTAGACCCCTAGAAGGCAGGTAACATATAGTCTTCAATAGTAGACTTCTAGAGGGCAGGAAACATATAGTCTTCAATAGTAGACCTCTAGAGGGCAGGTAACATATAGTCTTCAATAGTAGACCTCTATAGGGCAGGCAACATATAGACTTCAATAGTAGACCTCTAGAGGGCAGGTAACATATAGTCTTCAATAGTAGACCTCTATAGGGCAGGCAACATATAGACTTCAATAGTAGACCTCTAGAGGGCAGGTAACATATAGTCTTCAATAGTAGACCTCTAGAGGGTAGGCAACATATAGTCTTCAATAGTAGACCTCTAGAGGGCAGGCAACATATAGTCTTCAATAGTAGACCTCTAGAGGGCAGGTGACATATAGCCTTCAATAGTAGACCTCTAGAGGGCAGGCAACATATAGTCGTCAATAGTAGACCTCTATAGGGCAGGCAACATATAGACTTCAATAGTAGACCTCTATAGGGCAGGCAACATATAGTCGCCAATAGTAGACCTCTAAAGGGCAGGCAACATATAGACTTCAATAGTAGACAGATTATTGTCTATACAATATGTCAAGCTCTAAATCTTCCCAGTCCAGAAAAGTTGTGAATAAATTAAAGTGAGACAAAGATCTGAATCAGAACATTAGAGAACTTCATGACTCATTTGACACAAGGAAGAAAAAAACAGAATCTAGTTAACACTCCCTTCTAGCTCACCTGGCCCTGTAATAGATATGTAGGCTCTGTAAACAACAAAAATGGCCAATGGACATGATGGAAGCTATATTTTTGTCAGGTGAGCAATTCAGGGTCTTAGGAGCCTCTTGTATGAATGACAAGTGGCTCATGATACAGTTTGCCAATTGATCTGTCTCTGATTATAATAAAGTTATTTTAAAATTGATTTTTTCGCAGCTTCCTGTGTAGAACTGACCCTGCTGATGTCGCTAGAGTGGAGGCTAAGACATGGATATCAACAGAACAAAAGTATGATACAGTCCCTCATGTTAGGGAAGGTGTCAAAGGTATTTTGGGACAGTGGATTTCACCACCAGAAATGGAAAAAGAGATGAATGACAGATACCCTGGCTGTATGAAAGGTAAGCATAAATAGTATATCCACTATGTCATAGACAGTATCACAATGTGTAAAGTTGTTTATTAAATCATTTGCTCCTGGTTTTTGTGGGAACTGTAGTAGAAAGAGAGAAACTGTAAACAGCAAAATTGAACAGCAGGACAAGGTCTGCAAAAAGCCAATACATGTATGGCTAAAATTGTCATTTGACTCCTTATGACTTTTTGCCCTTGAGAGATGATTTTTGCCCATTTGTGTGCTTTTGCAGAAATTATAGAAGATAGATTGAACTGCATACAGGAGTTAGTGCCCTTGTAAATGATAATTTCTAGCCTTTTATTGCCAGAAACTATCAAGAAATCTTCTTATTGCATTGTATTAATTTTATGCTAAAATGCCAGGTGAAAGATACAGCTCCTTGGAGGAACCACTATTTTTTTTGTTTTTCTTTTAATCCATTCATAATTCTTTGAAATATGCCCTTTGAGAATTTTTTTCATAAAATTTTGCTATGTCACTGTTGTATGTCTTACTTTTACTGAATTTCAATATACTATCATGTACATTTCCATGTAAGAATCTGTCAAGTATGATCCAATAGGTGGAAAATTTACTTATTTTATTTCATTAAATAGTTGCCGTTTTGATAGGTCTAAATTACAATTTAGATACTGTCAAATGTAGATGGCAAATTGATACAATTAACATAGATATGTTTGAATATCAGTCAGTGAAATATGAGCGTAGCTCAACGTTTTTAACTTCTTTTTTACCAAAGCTATATTCAGGCATAACAAAGTTTTTGACTCTGTTCAGTATATGACGTATTGCATGAACAATCAGTAGAACAGGAGTACAGATTTTTATTTTCAGGAGAACTTGTGATTCCATTAAGTATGGGACCTATTGGAAGACCTTGAATCAGTAAAATTGGTATATAGTCCACATATTTCTAGCTATGTATTTGTTTTTTTTTCAGGCAGGACTATGTTTGTGATTCCATTCAGTATGGGGCCTACTGGAGGACCAATCAGTAAAATTGGTATACAGCTGACTGATTCTAACTATGTATTATTATGTATGAATATTATGACCCGTGTGTCACCAAAGATTTGGGAGACATTAGGAGATGGTGATTTTGTCAAATGTATACACTCTGTTGGCTGTCCTAGACCTGTTACAAGTGAGTATTATGACATCCCTCTCCCCATAAGAAATTGTTAACTATGTCTTGAAAGGTACATGTATGATAGCTATCTACTTCAGTGTTAAATTTGAAATTGATGGCATAATTATATAGTATGCATTTTGTCCACTTCAATCTGAATAGTAAACACTTATATTGATCTTTTTTTGTGATAATTTTTATACACCCGTCAAAATTTTGACGAGACATATTATGGTATACAAATGTCTGGCGTCCGTCTGTCTGTCTGTCTGTCTGTCTGTCTGTCCGTCTGTCCTGCGTCCACATGTCGCACCGTAACTTGAACTTGAGAATGACTTATCCAAATTTCATGAAACTTAACATAGTTGTTTCTTATGATGGTCAAACGATATGTATACTTTTTGGTGAAAATAAGATTAAAACTTTTTGAGTTACGGGACTTTGTAACTAAAACAGGGGGTGTCACATGTCGCGCCGTATCTCGAAAACGATTTATGATTTTTGATTAAAACTTTACACACTTCTTAATTATATTAATCTTAAGATCTGTATACTTTTTGGTGATGATTCAAAATTTTATTTTAGAGTTATTGATTTTTTTATTAAAAAAAGGGGGGTTTTCACATGTCGCGCCGTATCTCAGAAACGATTTATGATTATCGCATAAAATCTCACACACAAGACGACGGGCGTATCATACGCTCGTGGTGCAGCTGTTTATTCATATCATGCCTCTTGCTTGCAATAGTAAATTATCTCTAGAAACTAAGGGCCCATCAATGATGTCATAGACAAAATAGCAATAAACAGATTATCAATGGTCTTTCAAACTTGAGGGTGTTTCTCGACCACATCTCATCTTAGGGCTATTGCCCTTCCATGAGGTTGTAGCTGAGAAACACCCTCTCAATTGAAAAACCATCAATATTCTATAAGAATGGATAATTTACAGATGTAAATGATTTATTCTAGTATATTATTTAGTGAAATAATTTAATACTCAGTCAAACCTGTCATAAATGTTCCATCTTTTAAGCAAAAACCTCTCTTATCAAGTCACCTTCTTTTTAAAACATTGTAGGTCAGTTTTCTCTGGTACCGAGGATGACCTTTATTTACAGGTTTGTCCTATCTATCTATATAAGAAATTGATGACTGTGTGATGAACTCTTTATCTTACAGGAAAGGTTGTAAACCACTGGCCATGTAATCCAGAGAGAATCATGATAGCTCACAGACCAACACAGAGAGAAATCATGTCATATGGTAGTGGGTATGGTGGAAACTCCTTGCTTGGAAAGAAATGTTTTGCCCTTAGAATAGCCAGTGTTATTGCTAGAGATGAAGGATGGCTTGCAGAACATATGTTGGTAAGTCCTTAGAATAGCCAGTGTTATTGCTAGAGATGAAGGATGGCTTGCAGAACATATGTTGGTAAGTCCTTAGAATAGCCAGTGTTATTGCTAGAGATGAAGGATGGCTAGCAGAACATATGTTGGTAAGTCCTTAGAATAGCCAGTGTTATTGCTAGAGATGAAGGATGGCTTGCAGAACATATGTTGGTAAGTCCTTAGAATAGCCAGTGTTATTGCTAGAGATGAAGGTTGGCTTGCAGAACATATGTTGGTAAGTCCTAAGAATAGCCAGTGTTATTGCTAGAGATTGAGGATGGCTTGCAGAACATATGTTGGTAAGCCCTTAGAATAGCCAGTGTTATTGCTAGAGATGGAGGATGGCTTGCAGAACATATGTTGGTAAGTCCTTAGAATAGCCAGTGTTATTGCTAGAGATGAAGGATGGCTAGCAGAACATATGTGGGTAAGCCCTAAGAATAGCCAGTGTTATTGCTAGAGATGAAGGATGGCTAGCAGAACATATGTTGGTAAGTCCTTAGAATAGCCAGTATTATTGCTAGAGATGAAGGATGGCTTGCAGAACATATGTTGGTAAGTCCTTAGAATAGCCAGTGTTATTGCTAGAGATGAAGGATGGCTAGCAGAACATATGTTGGTAAGTCCTAAGAATAGGCAGTGTTATTGCTTTAGATGAAAGATGGCTTGCAGAACATATGTTGGTAAGTCCTGAGAATAGCCAGTGTTATTGCTAGAGATGAAGGATGGCTTGCAGAACATATGTTGGTAAGCCCTTAGAATAGCCAGTGTTATTGCTAGAGATGAATGATGGCTTGCTGAACATAAGTTGGTAAGTTCATGAACGTTTAGTTTGAATAGGAGATTGTGCTATCCAGTATGATTATCCTTAGACTATCTAATTTGATTATCCTTGAACTATTCAGTATGATTACTCCTAGACTATCCAGTGTGATTACTCTTATACTATCCAGTATGATTATCCTAAGACTATCCAATATGAGTATCCTTAGATTATCCAGTATGTTAACCCTTAGACTGTCCAGTATGATTACCCTTAGACTATTCAGTTTGATTACTCTTGGACTATCCAGTATGATTACCCTTAGACTATCCAATATGATTATCCTTAGACTATCCAATATGATTACCCTAAGACTATTTAGTATGATTACTCATAGACTATCCAGTTTGGTAACTTTTAGACTATCCAGTATGATTACCCTAAGACTATTTAGTATGATTACTCTTAGACTATCCAGTATGATTACTCTTAGACTATCTGGTATTATTACCTTATTATTCTTAGACTGCACAGTATAATTACTCTTAGACCACCCAAAGTATGATTACTGTTAGACTATTCAATATGATCATTAGACTAACCGGTATGATTATTGATAAACTACCACATATGAAACCCTTAGACTACCCAGTCTAATTACTGTTAGACTACCCAATATGGTTACTGTTATACTATCAGTATGATTACCCTTAGACTATCTAGTATGATTACTGATACTCTTTGCTATAATGAAAACGTTGGGAAAAGTTCTGAATTTACAGTACTTTAAATACTTGTTAGAAAAGAAAAAAGAACCATCTACTCAGAAAATTATTCACCCTGATATACTTTTCAGATTCACACAAATTTCATGGAAGTTGAAAATTCATTTCCTATTTAATATAGATCTTTTGATTGTAGAATATGAAGATTGAGATTAATTTTTGTCTATTTTTTCCAGATTATGGGACTTAAAAATGATAAGACAGGTGAAGAAAAATTTATTTGTGCAGCTTTCCCCAGTGCTTGTGGTAAAACAAATTTAGCCATGTTACAGCCATCTGTTCCTGGATACACAGTCAGAGTCGTAGGTAGGTATGAGAAGAACAGTTTGCAGGTCTTATAAACTAAACATCTTGTCTAAGAATTAAGTCAAGAAAAATCTGTAGAATATAATTTTTGATTTTAATTTTTATGCTGTAAGATAACTTAAGCATAATATTTCTTCAGGTAATATGACATTTATTTTGCTTTTTGCAACATTTGGCTAATGTGCTCACACTTCAGGATAATGTTTTTGTAATCCGTTATTACAGTGACACAGGCCTTAATCCTGTTGTAATCTACTTAAAAAAGCATATATTTATTAAACCCTTCTCTTGCAAGATATTTTTTATGTTGAAATATATACTTATTTTCATGTCCAAAATTTTCTTACTTTTTCCCATAATATTTCAAAACACTAGGAATTTTTTTTCTGCTTGGAATTTGATTTTTGTCATGCTCTGGGTATGATAAAAGCGGCATTGTATTTTCCAGTCTGTGCTTCTGTCCATTTATTAGTCCATTTTTAGCTCACCGTACCGGAGGAACTTGGAGCTTTTGCCATCACTTGGCATCCGTCGTCGTCAACCATCCGGTGTAAACTATTTCAAACATCTTCTCTGAAACTACTGAACCAATTCCAACCAAACTTAAGCTGAATGATCCTTAGGGTATCTAGAATAAAGTTTGTGTTTTATTTTTTGTTTCGTCAAAAAACATGGCCGCCATGGCTAAAAATAGAACATAAGGGTAAAATGCAGTTTTTGGCTTATATCTCAAAAACTAAAGCATTTAGAGCAAATCTGACAAGGGTAAAAATGTTCATTAGGTCAAGTTCCTTCAGCCCTGAAATTTTCAGATGAATCTAACAACCCATTGTTGGGTTGCTGCCACTAAATTGGTAATTTTAAGGAAATTTTGCAGTTATTGTCCTTTAAAGACAATTTTTTCACAATTTGTTCATCTAATCTAGTGTGCTTACTTTAAGAAAATCTTCTCCTTTGAAACTGCTGAATCAATTTCAACCAAACTTGGGCTGAATGAGTTTCATAGCATCTTGTATAAATTTTGTATTTTATTTCCTTGTACGTCAAGAAACATAGCCACTATGGCTAAAATGGAACATAGGGGTAAAATGCATTTTTTGGCTTTTGAAGAAAATATGACAGATACAAAGAACATTTAAATGGCACTCATTAATATATATTGAAAAGCAAAAATAATCGTTGATGAAAGATTTAAGCAAAAAATTACAGGTGTGCGATTCAGGCTCTTGAAAGCCTCTTTTTCAGTTAGCCCTACCGGTCTTGAGGGAATTTTTTTTTGGCAGCATCATTTTCATTTTTTATTTTCAGAAAAAAAAAACTGAAATTCCAAATGATTGACTTCTAGTTTTTTCAGTGTTATGGTACCGACCAGATTTTAGAACTACAAAATCCTTACTTCATGTACAAACTTCTGTTACAGGTGATGATATTGCATGGTTGAAGTTTGATAAAGAGGGTACCCTGAGAGCCATCAATCCTGAGGCAGGATTCTTTGGTGTAGCACCAGGTACCAACTTTAAAACCAACCCTAACGCCATGAAGACATTCCAGAAAAACTCCATATTTACAAATGTAGCTGAGACTGCTGATGGAGGATTTTTCTGGGAAGGCATGGAAGATGAAGTAGACAAGGTATTTATCCATTTTTATGACCAATCCACAATAATGAAAATGGTTTTTAATTAGTCCTTGCTGTTTTCCCAAATGTATGTACAGATTTGGTAAAGTTTTGTGCTGAAGATAGCTGTCTGTAATTCATTGTAATACAACAATGGTGTTCATTTATGAATGACCAAGTTCTGTTCACTACAGTATAGCCAACAATTTGGTAAATACAAGCTATATTTTATGCATGTTTACTTTTGTGTTTAGGTCCATTTTTATGTATTTCACCCTGACAATCTCCTCATATCACCCAACAGCAGTTCTGGACTGTTACCCTTTTCTGGTGTAGGAAATATTTAATGCATTGGTGATTATGCTTCTTTGCATCTTTTGTTTTTTGTTTTTTCTAGAACATGATGATAACAACATGGTTGAATAAGAAATGGCAGATTGGATCCCCAGGAAAGGCAGCACATCCTAACTCTAGATTCACTGCCCCAGCTAGTCAGTGTCCTAATATACATCCTGATTGGGAGAAACCAGAGGGAGTTCCTATTTCTGCAATTATCTTTGGTGGAAGGAGACCTACAGGTAAGAGTTAGGGGTACCAGAGGGAGTTCCTATTTCTCCAATTATCTTTGGTGGAAGGAGACCTACAGGTAAGTTTTGAGGGACACCAGAGGGAGTTCCTATTTCTGCAATCATCTTTGGTGGAAGGAGACCTACAGGTAAGAGTAAGAGGTACCAGAGGGAGTTCCTATTTCTCCAATTATCTTTGATGGAAGGAGACCTACAGGTAAGTGGTACAAGGCATCAGAGGGATTTCCTATCTCAGAATTTATATTTAATGGGAGACGACCTGCAGGTAGATTCTTAGGGTATGAGAAGAAGTTATTATCTCTGCATATATATGTGATCAGAAACATTCATGTAGGGTCTGAGAGGCACCAGGTGATCATTAGATGAATTTATCTTTGATGAGAGGAGACCTACAGAAAGGACTTCATATCAGCAGTTATATTCAATTGAAGGAGACCTACAAGTAGGTTTCTCAGAGGCAAAGGGAGTTACTATCTTAGAATGTAACTATGGTGATAAAATGTCAAAATTTCTGTTAGTCATACATCAATAAAAAAAACGGAAATATAGTAATTGATTGGTAGGATTGTTTATAACTGATATTACCTTTGTGTGTAAGTAGCATATGACTACAGTATATTTCTAACACAAGAGCAGAACTACTTGATTGGACCAATTTTGTTGTTGAACATATAAATGCATGCAGGACAGTTACAGGTAAAGGTTGATTTGTAAAAACTTGGCAAAACATAAAGGGAACTATTGTTTTCAAAAGCCATTATGACTAAAGTTTATTTTCTCTAAGATTAATTCCTTTCTTGTTTTACTTGGTTACAGGTGTACCATTGGTGTTTGAGACTTTCAGCTGGCAACATGGAGTATCTGTAGGAGCCTGTGTAAAGTCTGAAGCTACTGCAGCTGCTGAATTTAAAGGTAAAATAATTTATAATAACCAGTTATAGTATAGTGTTATAACATAAATTGGTGGGTATCAGTTTTTATGGTTTTAGCAAAAGTGGCACCAGGAGCATTTTTCTTTCCTATTTTCATATGAAAGCAAAAGAAAATTTGCATCAGATGAATATTGAAGTAGGAAAGGGTGAGAAAAGAAGTATATTTGGCAACACATATAAACATAGCAATTATATTTGTATAATTTACAGTCTATATAAATAAGAAGATGTGGTATGAGTGCCAATGAGACAACTCTCCATCCAAGTCACAATGTATAAAAAGTTAACAATTATAGGTCAAAGTACGGCCTTCAACACAGAGCCTTGGCTCACACCGAACAGCAAGCTATAAAGGGCCCCAAAATGACTAGTGACTAGATTAGATATATTGAAGATTTGAATGACAGCAATAAAATTATTATAAGTACACCCTTCCTGTATCACGTCCTCTTACAATATTTAGATGTCAATTTTGTGATTTAATAGTCTAATGGTTATGCTTTATACAACTTATTCAATTATATCTTGAATTTAGAAAAGGCTATAAAACACTTGCAAAATTAAAAAATATGCCAGTTGTACAATATGGTCTTCTGATTGTTGAAGGCCGATCTGTGACCTATAGTTGCTTTCATCCAAGTCCTATGATCTCTTGTGGATGTAGTTGTTTCTTTGGCAATCATACCAGCCGAACAAAGATTTTCTATGCAGGAAAAACATAACTGATGACAATGCTAAAATAATGGGTTCACACTAGCCTGCTAATCAACCTATATAGATTTGCCATTTGTTTATTTTTTGCACACAGTAACTCTTACATTAATAGTGAAATACAAATAATTCTGTCTTCAATTTTTATTATAAAAAAGACCACATTGTTTCCATTTCATTTGAAAAGGTTTTATGAAATATTTGATTGTGTCAATGTAATCATTACATTTCATTATGGTAAATTTTTTTTTTTAGGAAAGATGATCATGCATGATCCAATGGCTATGAGGCCATTTATGGGATATAACTTTGGAAATTATCTAAAGCACTGGTTAGATTTGGAAGCCAAACCACACAAGGTAGGAAAAAAATATGGTCTGCTTCTCCAAAAATTCTCATACTTCACTTTGTAGTGATTCTTGGAAGTACTTCTCAGACACAGCATAATTTTCCAGAAAAAGATGAACTAATGATTTCGTGAATTAGTGACAAAGTTCAGCATATTAAAACTTAGAATTTTGTGGGAACCTCAGTAACTTTAAAATGTTTGACTTGACCTTAAATTGTTTGAGTTCAGCTTTCAAGTATTGTTCGTTTGATTGATTTTAAAAGTACAGAATGACCTTGAGTTATGTGCTCGTATGAGGATAAAAATGGCTAGATATATATAGTAGTTATGATTATTGTTTTTACATAATTTGTTGACCTTATAATGTAACTAGAGTACAAGTTTCCTGTTAGGGACTACATTTTATGGCTATAAATGTGTTTCTGATCATTCTGATATGACTGAACTTTTTTAGGTTCCTAAAATCTTCCATGTGAACTGGTTCCGAGTAGATGAAGAAGGTGAATTCCTATGGCCAGGTTTTGGTGACAATATCCGTGTATTGGATTGGGTATTAAGAAGATGTGCTGGAGAGGAAGGCATTGCCGAGAAAACTCCTGTAGGTTTTATACCCAAAAAAGGTAAATATTGAAATTATATTTAGGGAAAATACCCATAGGTTATGTACTAAACAAGGTTGAATATCTCTCATACTGCCTTAGCTTTTATAGCTAAGAAAGGTAATTGACACAGAAAAATCACCCATACTACAATAGCCTATACATATATCCTCAAGAAATGGTTAATACTGGCAAAGAAAAATCACTCATAAAGCCATAGCTTATATACCTTAGAAAGGTTAATACTGGCAGAGATAAATAACCTGTACTGCCATAGATTTTATGCACAGGAAATATAAAAACTGACATTAATTTTGAGATAACACATCAAAAAAAGATACACTAATTTTGGAAACCAAGTAAATAAAAAAACGAGTGCATTAAAGGAAGTTCAATAGAACAGCCAAAAGTATATATGTATTTTTTTGGGGATTAATTTTTTCAGAGTCATTTAATTTGACCAACCTTGGTGATCTTAAATGGAATGAACTGTTCAGTATTCCTAAATACTATTGGCTGGACGACATCAGAGAAAGCAAAAGATTCTTAGAAGATCAAGTAGGAACAGATGTACCACAAGTTATCTGGGATGAACTTGATGAACAAGAAAAGAGACTACGGGAATTACTGTAAAACATTTGTTGACCAGGAATCCATGTCTTGCAAATGTTTTGAGTCAAGGTTACTGAAGTGTTTGGTGGCTTTTTCACAGTAGACAGAGATTGAAGTGGTGATAATATATCAAAATATCTCGTTATTTGTTGTTATTTGTTAAAGACATATATTTTATATACATCGTTAAAGATGCAATACAAGTGCTTTTAGTAAATAAAGAAATATTTATCAGATTAGATGTTGACCGTAAAGTATATACATGTGTTATAGTTTGTTACAATTCTTGTTATTAAAATGTCTCAGAATCAGATCACTTCATGTTTGATCATATGGTCAAATTTGTGATTGTTAAATTTTTTTTCATGTTAAGTGAAAAACATGTCAAATTTTTAATGAAATAGATTTAGATATTTCAAAACTGATTTTAATACTAACTTTTGTTTTATAATATTTTTCACTGTTATCTGAATTATGAAATATTAGAAATAAAATTGATTTTTCCAAATTTTAGTAGCAAATTGCAAGAACTCACATATAAGCATTTATCAAAAGTTGCCACCATTTGTTGACAGATATTCCAAATAATCCATATTAAATCCACGTTAACAAAGGAAAATAGAGCTGTCTACATTTAATTTGAAAAGTGTAGTTTTAATACAGTATAAAAATTACTCCAGACATGAAAGTTTTTTTTAAACATTTATAAGCAACTTTTGTAGGTACTGATTTTATATGATTTGACTATGTTAAACCATACTTGTTTTAATTGTTTGCATAGTTTAGAGGTTTTCTCATATTTTTATGTCTGACTTAGTACATCAACTTTGTTTTATGCCATTAGAGAACATGCTAAATCCAAGCCTGTATATGTGGCATTATGGACCTTACACCATATTTTTATGTTTGACTTAGTACATCAGCTTTGTTTTATGTCATAAGAGAAAATGCTAAATGTGGCATTATCAACCTTACACCATATTAATATCCGTAGGAGATTTCTAGGTTATACTGTTATAGTATTTTCAAGGTATGTTGATTGTGACTGAAATCCCAAGAAGATAATCATTTTATATCGGATAGTTAAATCCTTAGTTAGTCAATCAAGTGGTGCTATAAGTACAAAATTTACAAATGACCATTCCACTGTTGTTATATGTGATTTTAGAAACCTTAAAATATCAGTTTAGATCCTTTGTTTCAATTATGATAATCCAATGGTTTTAGTCTATTTTAGCTAAATATCAAATATTTCTTGGCATTATTCAGACGTGATGATTGTGTTCTTGGCTTTCTGGGAATAAATACAATTTCTGGTATTTTAAAAACTTGATTTTATAGCTAAAGCTTTTATATATATACAGAGTAGCTAATTTCCGAAAGCCATTTTCTAATTGTACACCATTCCTGCAGTATATATAGGTGCAATTTTTATTATATATACATTTATTTACGAGATTTTTACTCGCACAGAATACCCGGTATTAAGCATTACGTTTTATTTAGTTATTATATATTTTTGTTTTTGTTTATCAACTTTTTTTTGGATAAATTAATTGATATTGTTAGATGTAGTCATTCCATAAAACATTTCAAATGTAAAACTATGATACATGATATTAAAGTTGAAGCTTCATTTTCCAGAAGGCAGTGTAAGATTTGTTCACTTTTGCCAGCCTTTAATGTCATCAAATGCCTTTGCCTGCAATAAAGGTGTTACTTTTTTGGAGTAACAATTGTCTGCACCTTAATTAAAATTGATTAGGTAAATTGAATAAGTATGTATGCTGCATCATTTAGAAGAGTAAACAGTTGAATATGCACCCATGCATCTCAGTAACAGTGATTAAGTTACTTTTTAATTTATATATAGGCTTGTTAAATTGATGAATCTGAGTTTTTTGGGAAATAATTTTCCTGGGGAGGGGGGGGGGGGGGGCAATACATGGTGAAATGAGAGCCTTTATCTCATATAATTATGTCCTGAATTTGCAAACAATGTTTGCCATTGGACATTATTCAAACAACAATCAATAAATCTTTAGATAGTTTATTTGTTACATTTCCATTTCAGCAAGAACATTTATCCTATTAAAATTTCAAGTTTTTTCTGTGATTAGTTTTTTTTCTTTGTGCCATTAAAAGGATTAATATTATGTTATTTTTTATTGTGAGAAATCTCTTTCAAAATATCAATCCTGTATCTTTAAGGAGAATTGTAATGGTTTCCTTATATTTATATTGTTACACTATTGTTGATATATAAGTGTGCAAAAATAAAGTAGTATTGCTTGAAATTGTTTTCTCTTTGGATAATTTGCCATATGTTCTCTAGATGTATTTCTTTTTGTTCATTTGTGTTAGGTTGCTGTCTCAACGACATGTATCCAAATATCTTCTTTTACTAATATATGTCATCACTATGTCATATTGATACACAACATTGTGGAGTAAATTTCAATGACACAGCAGCCAAACAGCACAAATTTATCAAAAACACAGATAAACGTCATCCAGACAGGAAAACTATTTAGCAATATTTGTTCACTATTTCCTACATTTCATGCCATATTGGCTTTGGATTATTATCCAATCTAGTCCATTTTTTTCAATAATCTTAGTATGATGATAATGAAGCTTTCTTACCACAGGCTTCCTGTTTAATTTGATGTGGCTTAGTAACAATTTGGTCACTGAACATTATTGTAAGACATTGCAGCTCTGCCATACATTTCATCAAGGTTTTAGTAGTAGTTACAGTAGCAGTTATATGTTGTGGTTAAATGGGTCAAATAAGGATGGTTCATATCTAGCAGACTACATAAATGATTTAAAAAATATCTGATATATAAAACTTCAACAACTCAAAATCATTGATGATTCGTTTGACATACAGTGGGTGCCTAGACAACACTAGAACAAGATACTAGTAAATTTATAAATAACACTGACAAGACAGGTGTTCAAACAACACTATAAACTTGATGTGTGTAATTAACACTGCAGGCAAAACAGGTGCAATAAAGAACACTGACAAAACAGGTGTAAAAACATCACTTAAAACAAGATGTGCACAGACAACACTAACATGACAGGTGTACAGACAACACAAACAAAACAGGTGTAAAAACAAAATTGACAAAACAAGTGTAAAAACATCACTGAAAGCAAGATGTGTACAGACGACATGAACATGACAGATGTACAAGCAACGCTGACAAAACAGGTGAAGAAAGTGTACAAACAACACTAACAATAAGGGTGCACAAACAACGCTGACAAAACAGGTGTACAGACAAAACTAAACACAAGGTGAATGTACAAACAACACTGACAAAACAGGTGCACAAACAACACTGAATACATGATAAGTGTACAAACAGCACTGGCAGGATATGTGTAGACAACACTGAAACCAAGATAAGTGTAAAAACAATGCTTATAGATAATGCTATCAAAATTTGAAATGCAAGTTTTAATTTTTGCGACCCTGTCTCGTTGCAATTTTCTCAATAATAAAAAAAAACATTACAAATATTTCCGAATTTACAGTATGTAATCAAAGCTGCAAGTAAAAAAGTGTACAAAAAACACTGAAAACAAGATGTGTATAGACAACACTGGTAAGAAATGTGTACAGGTAACACTGAAAAAAGATAAAATGTACAAACACAGACAAGACATATGTACAGACAGTTATAAAAACAAAATTTTAAAGTGTACAAACAATATTGACAAGACAGGTGTAACAAACAGCACTAAAAACAAAATAAATGTACCAACAACACTGACAAGACACGTGTACAAACAACACTAAAACCAAGATAAGTGTTAAAACAACGCTGACAAGTCAAGCATATAGACATCACTGAACTAAGATAAAATGTAAAAACATTGACAAGACCGATGTACAGACAGTTATAAAAACTATATTTTTAAGTGTACAAAGAATATTGACAAGACGGGTCACTGAAAATTTAAATTAGTCACTATGACTATTCAGTTAGTCAAATATTAGCCGAAAGGTAGTCAACAGAATATATGACTACCCATCATGTCATTATGACTACCTACATAGTCAATTGACTATGTTAGGTGGTCACAGCACCACGTGGTGTAGAGTATCGGTTTTCACGCGCACTCTTTCGCGTTCCCTTTGTTCCGTAGATCGTGTACATGTAAACAAACCAGGAGGCACGAAACTGCTATTTTGTCAATTAAACCAATTGTTTAAAGTAAGTATCATGTACATTTGTTTTAATTCTAACTTACAAAAAATTAAATTTGAGAAAAAGAAATGTAATGAATGTAATATATCGGCACATGTTGACGTAAATTAATGACAATACAAAACAGAGGGAGATATGTATACGGGATATCAATTTTGATACACATACAACGTATTTTCGATTGAAAAGAGTATTTAGCGATATCTATTTTTCACCTGATCAAAAACTGTTAAAAATAAACACTGCAATCGATATTCACAACAATGAATTAAAAAAAAACCCTCAGGGTAGCTGTCAAGATCCTGGTGCTTACATTACAATGCTGTGATATAACATGGGTGGCTGTCAAGATCCTGGTGCTTACATTGCAATGGTGTGGTATAAGATGGGTGGCTGTCAAGATCCTGGTGCTTACATTACAATGTTGTGTTATAAGATGGGTGGCTGTCAAGATCCTGGTGCTTACATTACAATGTTGTGTTATAAGATGGGTGACTGTCAAGATCCTGGTGCTTATATCACAATGTTGTGGTATAAGATAGGTGGTTGTCAATATCCCGGTGCTTACATTACAATGTTGTGGTATAAGATGGGTGGCTGTCAAGATCCTGGTGCTTACATTACAATGTTGTGGTATAAGATGGGTGGATGTCAAGATCCCGGAACTTATATTACAAAATAATGGTATAAAATGAGTGACAAAATCACTAGATCAAAGATTTTAAAATTTGTTTTTTCTTTTAACTTTTACATGATTTTTTATTGTTATATTTTAGCTTCTAAAATGATATAATTATATTTTTCAGCAAATGAAGACATTGCTATTTGTATGAACACAGCTTAGAGATTTTTGACCAGAGAGATTATTACACTGACACAGTTGATACCGAAAAAATATCTGAAATAAACACTTCAACTTAACAATGAGTTTATAATAAATATATTTTCTTTATTTGATTTTTAGACTTCAATATATGTCACTGAGTAATGGCAACACATGAAAATCATGAAGATATAGGAAGGTCTTGAACACTTTGTGGTCCTATACGGTTTCGATGTTAGTTTTGCTGTTGTGGTATTTTTAATGATATTATATTCCAGATGTATTTGTCAATCCTATGGAAGAGAAACAACAAAAAGTAGAATAACAGACGAATGAAACATAAAAGTACAAAACAGATAGAAACACACACAAAGTAAATTGGTGGAACAAAAAACACAACACAAATTAAAATAACAGTCTAACAGTCGTGACTATTCACAGTAATCATGTTGACTAAACAACATGGTCACTTTCGACTATTTCAATAAGTCATATGGACTGCATTCAATTGTCAAACTGACAAATGTGCATAGTCAATTGAACAATCCAATTCGGCATAACGAGTATAACATATGGTCATTTTGACTTCCAAACATAGTCATAATTACCACCCTACTCAGTCAAATGTGACTACCCATCTAGTCAAACGACAAAGAGCATAGTCAAAATGATTAAAGTGCATTGTCATCTAGAGGACAGTCAAAATGACCAATTAAATTGGTCAAATTGACTAATTTATGTTTTCAGTGGTGTAACAAACAGCACTAAAAAAATGTACCAACAACACTGACAAAACACGTGTACAAACATCACTAAAACCAAGATAAGTGTACAAACATCATTAGAAGCAAGACAATCATGCAAATAACATTGACAAAACAGGTGCACATGTAACACTGACAAAACAGATATACAAGAAACACGAACGTGAAAGGTGTTCAGACAACACAAGTGTGCAAACAACACTGACAAAACAGGTGCACTAACAACACTGAAAACAAGATAAGTAAACAAACAACACTGACAAGTCAGGTGTAGAGACAACACTGAAAACAAGATGAGTGTACACACAACACTTGCAATTCAGGTGTACATACAATACTGACACACGTGCACAAACTACACTGAAAACAAGGTAATTCTACAAACAACACTGATAAGACAGCAGTAGAGACAACATTGAACAAATAGATGCACATACAACACTGAATATGAGATAAGTGTACAAACAACACTGACAAGGCAGGTGCACAGACAACACTAAAAATCACCAGGACTGTAAATTCAAAAATGTGTGAGTACATTTATTATTTCGATTGTTGAACAAATGTTGATTATTGCGATTTCAGGAAATGTTGCATATAGATAATGCTATCAAAATTTGAAATGCAAGTTTTAATTTTTGCGACCCTGTCTCGTTGCAATTTTCTCAATAATAAAAAAATCATTACAAATATTTCCGAATTTACAGTATGTAATCAAAGCTGCAAGTAAAAAAAGTGTACAAAAAACACTGAAAACAAGATGTGTATAGACAACACTGGTAAGAAATGTGTACAGGTAACACTGAAAAAAGATAAAATGTACAAACACAGACAAGACATATGTACAGACAGTTATAAAAACAAAATTTTAAAGTGTACAAACAATATTGACAAGACAGGTGTAACAAACAGCACTAAAAACAAAATAAATGTACCAACAACACTGACAAGACACGTGTACAAACAACACTAAAACCAAGATAAGTGTTAAAACAACGCTGACAAGTCAAGCATATAGACATCACTGAACTAAGATAAAATGTAAAAACATTGACAAGACCGATGTACAGACAGTTATAAAAACTATATTTTTAAGTGTACAAACAATATTGACAAGACGGGTGTAACAAACAGCACTAAAAAAAAATGTACCAACAACACTGACAAAACACGTGTACAAACAACACTAATACCAAGATAAGTGTACAAACATCATTAGAAGCAAGACAATCATGCAAATAACATTGACAAAACAGATATACAAGAAACACGAACGTGAAAGGTGTACAGACAACACAAGTGTGCAAACAACACTGACAAAACAGGTGCACTAACAACACTGAAAACAAGATAAGTAAACAAACAACACTGACAAGTCAGGTGTAGAGACAACACTGAAAACAAGATGAGTGTACACACAACACTTGCAATTCAGGTGTACATACAACATTGACACACGTGCACAAACTACACTGAAAACA